ATGGGCTATCTGTGCTCTGCCCACCACCGGTATCGAAACCCGGTTTCTAGCGTTGTAAGTCCGCAGACATACCGCTGTGCCATTGCGGGGCTTTTACCTGATATATGACATAATTTCACATATATAAAAATATATATATCATATTTTTCAATTATTCTTTCTTATCATGTATTTCATTTAATTTTTAAACATAATTTCATTTAATTTTTAAACATAATTTCATTTTTTAAAAAAACCTAACCTTGCATTATCTCTTAATGATAAAATGTTATCATGTTAACCTTTTATATTTCAATATATTCACATTAAGTGAAATTAGTTATCTGTTTGCACCTGTTAAAAGATATATAAAAAATCAGAGATAGCTAAGATCCGCAGATAACTGGAGTATCATGCATCTAATTGGTAAAATAGGATGTGAATGCTGTGTGACGAGAAAGAAGACGGCTCAAAATGTTCAATACAAAAAGTACACTATTCCAGTTTACAATACTGAAAGAAGGATTAATTAAAATAAGCTGATTAAAAATTGTAATTAAAAAAGAAATATATAGGTCCGGATTGACAGACAAATGTAAACAACAGTTTATTTATAAAAATTAGTTTTGTTCAGTGTTTTTCGTTGCATAAATAAAGACACTATAGTAACTAACAATTTGTTAGGGGCAGTAACTCACAAAACAATATTACAAATTAATAAGGATTACGGGGAAATTATCAAAATATTGGTGCCAAAAGTACAAATACAGAAAAGTTGCTCAATATGTTACGATAATTGCAATTTCTCTGCAATAGATTTGTTTGTTGTAAAGCACAAAGTTACACAGTGAGCTATCTGTGCTCTGCCCACCGCGGGTATCGAAACCTAAATTTTAGTCTTATAAGCCCACTGATTTGACGCTGAGTCACCGGGGACACTCTGCATTAGGATTCGGCCTATAGGAGCTGTATGATTGGCATGTGAGCCATTACCGGAAAGTGATGATGGGGACTATAGGACAGCTGAGCTCTCTTGGGCCATTCAAAACTGGAAAACGAATTTCATATGTTAACTTATTGTTCTTCCATCCAGGAATAGAGACCAAGCAATCATCTAAATATCGAGAGTTCCTAAGCACCAACAAAACCCCATGCACCTGACATATTGAATGCCTTAGTCAAGCAACCTCCAGTGGGTTCTTATATAAACATTCTGTTAATGTTCACCAAAATGACTACCCGAGTGCTTGAAAAGCAAATATCACAAAGTTTTTTCAGCACCTGCATGGAAGTTTATTTGTTTGTTGAATTTCCCGCAAAGCTACTTGAGGGTTCTCTGTGTTAGTCGTCCCTAATTTTGAAGTGATAAACTAGAGGAAAGTCAACCCCACACAGCGCCAAATCTTTGGCTTCTCTTTAACAATGAATAGTGGAATTCATTGAAACATTATAATGCCCCCACAGCTGAAAGGGCGAGCATGTTTAGTAATGGTTTTTGATCCCTTAACACACAATTTGCGAGTTGAGCGCCCTAACCACAAGGCCATACTAGGCCTGCACCTGGGTGCATTAGACGTCCAAATAATCTGTTCCAGTCATCTAACTCTAAATGTTCTAGACATTGCATCTAATAACATCAACTATCCTAGCTGTGCTGTTTTGAAGTGATTATCATATGATACATCTTAACGTGAAACGCCTTTTAACAATTTGGAAAGTAAGGGTTACACTGTGTCTTCAGTTAACTAATGTTTCAAAACTCCTAGCAACCATCTCAAGCCATGTGAACTGCGATGTTCCAGTCATTATTTCTATTAACACCAGTTATCTTAACCAAGTTATAATAAGCAGTTGTCGTATTAGAGTGAATTAGTCAGTGTGCTAGCTGTCGTAGTTACTTCGTCCAAATGAGTTGATATGATTTTACTATTATTCCTAGATCGGTAGGCCTACAACAATTTACGACAGAAAAGAAACCAAGGTAAAACAACAGAAAATTAAAAGAAGAACAAGAAGGGAGGGACAGGAATTTAAGATAGAAGTTAAGAGAAGGGGACATACTATATAAAGAATTAAAATAAAAAATAAATCTAGTTGAAGACAAGGTCGATGAAGCTATTGAAGATGTACAGAGACGTTATAGCAGGCAACAACAAGTTGAAAGGAGTGCAGAAGGACATCAAAGTACAGAACTGGTATGATGATAAAATTGAAGATGTACAAAAAGCCATCAACGGGGTAGAAAAAAAACATTAGTGTGGCAGAAAAGAACATCAGTGACAGAATATAACATATGGAAAATGAATTATTAAATCAAAGATAACACCAGCCTCACATCTAACCGCATCTGCTCAGGAGTTCCCACCTCGAAAACCATCTGCAACTGCTTTGCCACCTATCACTGAAGGACCTTCCTGGATTACTCCGGTCATGACACTACCAAACCAAGTTCCAGGATTTAGCTAGCCAATTAAATATCGGTAAATCAAAACACCAATGATTGGAGGGCACCATGTGAGTCATACCAAGCTCAAATTGAAATAATTTCCAGATTTATTGGGTGGAATAATGAACAACAAGCTATTCATCTTGCTGCCCATTTAGAAGGACCAGTTTTGGCAACATCAAGTAATCGTTCAGCTGACAGTTAAGCATTGGTAGCCACCTATTGACGATCCGGACTGTCAGTTTCACTCTCTCTTTTTTTTTCGATAAATGTTCATATTTTATCTGTTATTTGTTCTATTATTGCTCAGTACAGACTAGTTCAATTTGATAGACCCCGTAACCACCATACAAAATATAAAATAAATCAAAATTACCATTTTTTTCTTTCTAGATTTAGTTCAAATGGTAGCAGGAAACAACATTTCTTTACACTAAATAGTATAAAACTTCTTTACCTTATACAACTGTTTATAATTAAATTTTATTGTTTTATTGCCTTTTGGACCGTGATTTTTAAGATTCCTACCATAAGAAGTGTCAAAACATGCGGTAAAATTAAGCAAATGTTACAATAACAAGTTACATAAACACTCGTGCTACTCGTGAGTTGCTACTGTTAGTCCTAACGAGTGTACCTTTTATTTTATTATTATCATCATATTTATTTATATTGCCTAATTTAACCTTATCAAACCTAAAAGTTTCTAAGTTTTACTTTTTAGTTACTTTCATAATAATAAATAAAGAATAGACAAGAAAAATAAGAAATATATCACTCATTTGTGTAGTCGTTTTTTTATATATTGTTGCGTCAGCGAGGTCACGTGACTAGTGTCACGCCACCTGCTTTCTAGAACTATCCCGTTCCTTCGGGAGTGCTCTAGCATTTACCAGATTGGGGTGGTGGTCTGGTATATATATAAGATGGTCACGGCGTGACGTCATAATGTGTGTGTAGGTGATGAGTAATTGAATGTATGCGGACAGAATATTGTTGCCCTCGTGAGACGTTTGTTATAGAGGACTGTTGAAATTAAGTGTATCGTAAAGTTGTATTCGGAAAGAATAAACCAGTTTTATTAAGAAAGGACTTGTGTCGCTAAAGTTTCGTCAGAACGAATATACGGAAAATCAATTAACAAACGGAAACGTAACAAATTGGTGT